GATAATGTTAGAATTTGAATCAAACCTCCATATGAAAGTTTTAGGAAATTATTTCAACTTTATAGGGGGGGAAAGTTAAGGTCATTTGAACTTCTAGAATTCAAGATATGGGCTAAACATTAAACAGTGTCTGGGCTGCAAGGCAGATTCAGACTTTTTCGTTGTGTTACAATTTGGACTTGAAAACGGTCTTTTTAAATCTTGGACTCCCATGAAAGTTGTAGGCCTATGTCTTACCTTTCCCTTTTAAAGTAGACCTTAATCCGAGATCTACAGCTCCAGATATGACCTAATTACCAAATAGTGTTCCAGTTTGGACTGCACAAGCATCTCTTTTTTAAGTTTGGATATCTCTTTATCCTTTTAATTTTAGTACTTAAACTCATCAATCAATCCTTTTATTTATGTGATAGGCTTGCATTTAAGATGAATATTTACCACAAATTAAAGGTATCTTATATTATTAGATATGTTTTATAAAATATACTTTAGTTAAGGAGTTATTGATACTTCAAGTGCAAAATGATGATATAAAACCTTTATAAAAATGCACTTTTAAGTACTAATCAATAACAACACCTTTTATGTTGGAGAATTAGGAGAGAGGCAGGAAACAACAATAAAGGGACATATGTTAGCTTTATAAGCATTAAACATGTAAAGATTTGATGCAAAGTGATTTGTTATAGCCCTATTTATAAAGCGTTTCAAAAGAGTTTCTAAAAAAATTTAAATTTTTTTATTTTTTTTCTTTGCTTTAAATTAATATTATTTTGGTGCTTTTAGATCATTTTGATGTGTTGATGTGAAAAATATTTTTTTAAAAAAAATATTATGTTGATACATTTCCGAGTGAAAAGCACTTTGAAAAGCAACCATAACCACACTTGCAAACACGCTTTATATATTAAAAAAAAAAAATCAATCTAGGCTATGACAGCCCATACATTATTGTCTTTGGCAACACAAACCAAGGCTGCCAAGGGCATCATGGACCAAGATTGTTTTTAACAGTCTAAAGCGAGCTTAGCTCTTTGTTAACAAAAAGGGACACATGTTAGCTTTATAAGCATTAAACATGTAAAAATTTTATGCAAAGTCATTTGCTGAGTATCAAGAAAAAAAGATTAGTCTAAGTTGTGGCAGCTGATACATGATTATCTTTGGCAGCTCAAATCAAGGATGCCAAAGGCAACCTGGACCAAGGTTGTTTTTTACAGCCTAGACTGAGCTTACTCTCTGTCATCCAAAATTTCTTCTTTTTCTTTTACTTTTCTCAACCCTTTATTTTCTTACACATAATCCTATAATTTTTATAAAAACACTTATAAATACTCATACAGTCCAATAAAAATATTTTTAATTTCATACTCCTTATTAGACAATAACTCAATTAATCAAACATCTTTTTTTTTACAATCAATATAGCTCACTCTTTTGTTTCACAAGTTAAGGTATAATTTAAATAAAACCAACATTGCAAAGCGAGCTATGCCACCCTCCACCTATCCAAGAGAAGTAAGTTACACCTTACCAGTCATCTTTTAGTGTGAGTTATGTCATCCTATCACCTACCATAACTTTTAATCTTTATCTTGAAGATGGTAGGTCATGGAACGAGTTTTAAAACCATCCTTTTCAACTTCTTTATCTTTTTACTTGTTTATCATTTAAGCAATCAAACTAAAAAAACTAACTCAAGGCATTAAGAAATTTCTTTTGCAGGTAACATCAACTAATAAAAGCAACTTAATCCATTATCAGCATTAGAAAATCTTAGAGATTCATTGAATTTATTCTTTAACTTTATCTGTGACATAATCTGTGGAACATGAACAAAAAGTTTGTTCATTCCTCCTCATAATTTTTCACTCTCACAGAAAACCTTTTTTATGACAAACAAAACTTTAAGACATAAGACAATTGATAATATCTTGATAGGAAATTTGGTTTTCTCGAGTCTTCAACATTTATCTCAACAAATAAAAATATTTAATGATGTTGTTAGCACCATCCATCAATATTTTTTAAGCCTTCAATCTCCACAACATTAGATTTTAGGGCAAACACCAGTAAGAGCTTCCAGACAAGTTCTATTCCCTCTTGAAGGGGAATGACAAAATGACATGCCATTAAGATACATTAACTATCATACACTTAAAACAAGTTACACCTAGTATTTCACACCAGACATTCCAAATAAGGATCTAATCACAAATATTATGAGTCTCTTTCACCTACTCCACGCAGAAAATTACTAAATAGAAGAGAAGTCATGGGAATAAACACCACCAAATGAAATATTTCACACTTTTCAACGAGTGATACACACTTGTCTCTTTAAAAAATAAGTTTCCACAAATGTCAACTTAGATAACTATAATGAACTTATAGATCCCAAGAAATATATATAAAATGTGAGAAATGCTTTGGAATTGGTAACATAAAAGGTGATTTCAAGACAAAATCTTTCCCACAACATTGGATGGATCTACTCAGGTGATTTCAAGACAAAATCTTTCCCACAACATTGCATGGATCTACTCGGGTGTGGTGTCACAACCTTGAGCCTCATTTTATTCTTGGTCTTCATGTTTTGTATGTTAAACTTATCTCATATTTCAGCATCAGTGTATCAATTAAAAAAGCACTATTAAGCTCTTTGCCATTATACAAGGTGGAGACAAAACACTAGAAGCTATAATTAGAGACTCAATGAGAAAACGCTTAAATGGAGGATCTATAATCATTTATTATAGAAATGACTATACATTCTAGAAGCTATAATTAGAGACTCAATGAGAAAACGCTTAAATGGAGGATCTATAATCATTTATTATAGAAATGACTATACATTCTTCATAACAAAAACTTCCTTATAGTAAAACAAGCCATGAAAAATCACATTCAAGTAGAAAAGAAAAGCATCACTAGAAAAAGGATATCCACGCTTTAAACCACGTAGATAATAAAAATAATAATTCATTATAATTGATTTTTTATTATTAACATTTTTTTAAAATTAACTTTGAACATGATTTGATGTTTTTTTAGCTTTCAATCACACAAAATATACATAAGTTATTTCTATATTATTTGTTAATTTGTTTTAACAATCATAAAATATATATTTTTAATAGAAACAATGATTTTAGTTAAAAACATTGCATTGACTAAGATTTTTTTTTTTAAAAACATTGCATTGACTAAGATTTTTAAAA